AACATTGCAAAAGTAAGTACACATCACATAGAAAACAAGGCTAACGGCTAAGCTCAAGAATAAAATCCTAGCCTATCGTGTCCAGCACTCAATCTATCCAGCACTCATTCTATCCAGATCAATTCACAACCTAGGCTCTGATACCACTTGTGACGACTCCACCTTTCCCTAAGGCGTACCAAAGGGTTCGGCGGACCGCCTGTCCAACTCTCGTCAGGACTCACTCACTCACTCGTATCACGACATACCTCCATAGACCATAAATAACATCCACAATTCAAACTTATAATTTACATTAATACAAATCAAGGTACAAAGTCTCAATATGCCCAAACTAGTTCAAAGCGTATACAATCCAAATACAACACATTCTATTCAAGTAATAGCACGAGTACAAATCAAAAGTCAAAGCACTAGACTACGCTTTACATGTCTCATGCCTCGCTCGTACCCCTGTAAGGAAAACAAAACTAACAGAGTAAGCCAAAACTCAGTGAAGTTTCAAGTACCAAATTGGCCATCAAACAAAGTAATAGCAGAGGTATAGTGAAATAGCGAGCAAACAAGTCCAATCAAGGAGATAATACTTCAAGCAGTCAAGAAATATATAGATCATGTTCACATGTAAGGATACAGTGGCTCATGTCTTGGCTCCATCCCAGCTTGATCAATTCGTAATTGACACTCCGTCAACTTTCAAGTAATAACTAGTCCAGAAATAATACCCCACTTCACGCCAGTCTCCGTCCACCACTCAACCCCCTATTCCGGACCCGCACGCCACACGAAACACGGGTGGTAATACTCGAGTATACCATTTAGTCGAAGAGATAACACTCTACTCGACATTACTAGTTACCAAGAGTTCGTTATCTAATCGACCAGACCCTTGCCGGTTCGACTCGATTAACTAGCCACAAGGTTTCTGGAATTCCAGACAAGATGAAATTCGTATGTAAGCATAGCATTTCAAGTGAAATCATGGAACAATAGCAATTTTGATTAGGGCAAGTGCGATAAAGTACACTTTTGCCCTAAAATTTCACGTATATAACATGTAACACATATCAAATACAAGTATTAAGTGCAATTCGATATTTGAAAGCACTCACCAAAACAAGTATAGTGCTTTTAATGATCTCGTCCAGGTGGTACTTCTGGCTTGGAGTCCAAATCTGTGATAAAACGTTGCTTAAGAATTGGATAAAAATCAAGTAAGGTTCGAAACTTAAACGTTTCAATAAGAATCAAATAATTAAAGTTCATTTGGAAGACATTCGTGAAACACTTGCTCGCTTTTCAAACTGTAAGATTTTGTAGCAAATATACTTGGAAATAACATTTGAGTCGAAAGTGCAAGGAAAACGGGTTTACATTGGTTATTATGTCTTTTCCTCAAGGGTACAAATTCGACTAGGTTTTAACGTATAACCCTCGATAACCAAGGTAGCCAAAGTCCTAGATGGCCCAAGTGATACTCATATCAACTCTACCCAAATCGCAAGTGTATTTCTATAGTCCTCAAGCGTAAATTTGGGCAGCATGCCCTTTGTGTTTACCTAATTTTCTAGCCATTTTGGCTTCATTATTTTTCTCAAACAATCCAAAGTTACACACAACACAAATTCATTTCAATAGCCGTTCCATAGGCTCAAGACAATACAAGGATAAAAATTAAACTAATAACAAGTGCAGAAATGAACTTAACAAAAAACAGATTTGACGGGTTTTTGCGGAAAGAACACATCCAAGGCTACGCTTATCGGATTGAAGTAAAACTTATACCGTTTCGAAGCTAAGACGAAAGCCTACAACTTTCATGAAGATCACTTAGTCAAATTTCCAGTGTAACCTAGTCAAATTTCCAATTCACATAACCTAATTCCAACTAATCGGCTATTTAACCATACTGCCTTCAAATAGCCATATCTCAGTCTACCGAGGTCCGTTTAAGGCATTCTTCAAGGCGTTAGAAAGCTAAGACAGATTACTAAAACTTTCATGTTTTGGAAAATGGCTAAATCCAAACGGATCATAGTGAATAAACACAGAAAAATAGACTGAACTGTCCACGCGGAACACTGGAATTCAACTTAGGGCAGTGAGGGTATTTTGGTCTTTTCACAGGTTACGTTACTCCGATTGAGCTGAAATTTTGTAGGCTCCTATAACAATACCATTCTCTACAACTTTCATGTTTTACACCAAGCCTAATTACACCTCTAACATGGTACAATAAAACCGGACAGAATAGAGCTAAAATTTTCCAGAAACCTGGAATTTTGGGATTCAATGTAGCCTTTCTTGATTTCTTGCTCCAATCATCACCACAACCACTTATATAAGCTTAAATACAACATATATCATCCATATAGCAAGGATAGGCAGCAAATACCTCAAACCCTAACTCACATAAATCACCTTTAAGTCATCATAATAACTTGTATCACCACTAATCCAACCAAAACAAGTATTATATAACTTAAACCAGAATAAAAGAATCAAAGCCATGGTTTAGCCTTGTACCTCAACAAATGAAGCTTGTAAGAGTGATACTTCACCTCCTCTTGGAATTCTTGGTTCCCCTAGCTTCTCAAACTCACAACTCACTCTTTAATCGGTTTAGAATTTTAGTTGCTCACTTAACACTCACAAACTCAAGATGAAATGGCAGCTCTCACTTGGGTTTTTCCTCTCCCTCTCTCTCGGCCAAATAGCAGAAAAAATGAAGAAGAAGTGCAGCTCCAAGGTGATAAGAAGGTTGGACGATTGGTCTTGGTCAAGACCCTTAATGGTGTGACACTTGTCACCACCAATTACCAAGCAAAATTTTCTTTTTCTTTCTTGCAATTTCAGCCCCAAAATTCGGTCAAGGCTAGCTGGAAATTAATGAGATATTTTGCTAAAATATTAATGAGCTTGTATGGTAAGAAAGTGGTGGTCAAGTGATGTGTTCAATAGGTAGTGCACGATACACGTCGGTTCGCACCGTTTTTCCTTAAATCACACGTACTAGGGTTTTTACTTCCTATTTACTAACTTTTTATTATTGCATCTAATCACATATTATTTCTCACCTAAAAATCACTTGTAATTACCAAATTTGATCCTTGCTCCGTACCGAAAAATCATCCGGCGAAAAATCGCGAAAACCCTAATTTGCTCCAATCTTGAAAACGAAGAGTGAAACCCCACTTTCTAGATTCATTTGCACTTATTGTGGAATAATTGGGTAGTAGGGATTTAATAAATAATAATTTCCAAATAAAAGGGCATTTTTGAGAAAAATATAAGAAATTTGTGAGTCCTCACAGGTTGCCTAAACCCAAACCACAACCCATTCATTGTCCTTGCCGAGCCATATTTAATATAAGTCTATAGGCGTAAGAAAAGGAATAATTAGGCATAGAAGAACTTAAAGCATATACAAGTTACAAATACATTTAGAATTAGAAGCATGATTCTTTACATATATCAAAAGTCACAGTACGAGTCGAGAGATCACAAACAAGCCAAGTAAAGTACATACCAAATCAAAGTCAATAAACAAAATGAACAAGTGATTATCAAAAGTACATTCATCTCCATGGCATAAAACTCTTAAGTTCTACTCTCATAGTCCCACCACAAAAGATCACAAGTAGTGTTTCACTAGATTAATTGGAACTAAATGATCCACATTCCCTAACATGTTCAACTTTAACCCCAACACAAGGATTTTCTAGGCCACGATTTTCTTCACCTCTCGCTCTTAATTATTGTACCATTTTAGCCAAACGATTATCGATTTCTTGTAACTATTCACGTGAAATATCGATTCATTCTTATTCCCCGCAAATGGAGATCTCAAGTTCTTAGCATTGTCCTCAACGCTTGAGTACTCGGGTACAAGAATCCGAAATAAGATAATTCACATCTCGAGCTGGCCAGTTCCCAAGAGTAAATCATCACATTTGAGATTCCTACCCAACATACATACCAAATATTTTTCCCAAATATCAAAACAAAGGGGTTTATACCTATCACATTCATGATTCACAACTTATACTCTAGTACAGTACTTAAGCCTTTACTCATTCACATAATAAGGACCATAACACTACTTTGCCGAAACTCACTACGTGACTACCTGCTTGTTGACAACCATAATCAATTTATTTATGAATAAGTGATTTCATCTTTGCATCGATGATCAGATAAATGAACCAAAGTGGAAATTAGACCTTCGACTAGAGTGTTGCCTATTCTTGGTTTAGTTTTATTTAATTTGTGATACTGTCTTTATTTTATTCAAATGAGCTATTTAGTTAATTGCTCCTGATCCCCCATGTTTCACAAAGAAATAAATCACTTAGTCCCTGTGGATACGACCCTACTCACCACTATGCTTGAATTCATATTTTTAGAGTAGAAACTTTTATTTTTGCTGGTCTGACAAGCCAATAAATTTTGGCGCCGTTGCCAGGGACTAGTGCCTTATTGATTTATTTTCTTTGATTTTTATTTTTATTTTCTTTTTTATTCTGTTGCTAGTTTATGTCTCGATCTTCTTGTACAGGTGAATTGCAATACGATCCTGAGATAGAGAAGACAGCACATATACTAAAAAGAAAACTAAACAACGAGCAAGGTCGTCTAATTTGGTTGAACCTTCTGGTGAATCTGAAGAGGAGATTGAAACCATGGCGGATGAGAGAACCTTGAGAGAGGTAGCTACACCAGATTTAAATTAACAACCTCTTTGCATAACATATCCTGTTTTAGAAGTACCATTTGAATTGAAATCTGGATTAATTCACTTACTTCCTTCTTTTCGTGGACTTGCAGGTGAAGATCCTCACAAGCATCTCAAGAAATTTCATGTGGTATACTCAACCATGAAGTCCCAAGGAATCACGGAGGAGCAAATAAAATTAAGAGCCTTTCCATTTTCTTTAGTCGATAAAGCTAAGGATTGGCTCTATTATTTGCCCTCTGAATCAATTACCACGTGGACTGATATGAAGCAGCAATTTCTTGAGAAATGTTTTCCTACTTCCCGAGCTGCAAGCATTAGGAAAGATATATGTGGGATTAGACAATTTAATGGAGAGACATTGCACGAGTATTGGGAAAGGTTCAAACAGTTATGTGCAAGTTGTTCTCACCATCAAATCCCTGATCAACTTTCCATTCAATATTTTTACAAGGGATTATCAACAACAGATAGGAAAATTATTAACGCAGCCAGTGGAGGAGCATTGGTGAATAAAACACCAACGGAAGCGAGAAGGATAATTTCAAGCATAGCAGCCAATGGTCAACAATTTGGTGAGAGACAGGACTATGATCCTAGAAAAGTCAAGGAGGTGAGTATTTCCTCTATTGAACAGTGATTAGATTCTCTAACCTATTTGGTGGAAAAGTTGGTTGTCAGATAGGTTCAGCAAGCCAAAACATGTGGAATCTGCTATGCTTCTAGCCATCATACCGATATGTGTCCCACACTACAAGATGATCCAAATGAATATGTGAATGCAGTTGGCGGATTTCCTAGTCCACCTCAAATGTGCTATGATCCTTATTCAAACACCTACAATCTAGGGTGGAAGGATCATCCAACTTTCAGTTATGCTCCAAGGCCACCAGGATTTCACCAACAGCAATATCAGCCTAGACCCGCAAATTTACAACAGTAACCGGTTTCAAAATCAGGTACATCACTTGAAGAAATTGTTAAATCGTTAGCAACTAATGCACAACAATTTCAACAGGAGACGAGAGCTAGTATTCAAAATCTGGATAATCAAGTGAGCCAACTAGCAGCTGCATTTAATCGATGGGAGTCTCAAGGTTCAAGAAAATTGCCTTCACAGACGGTTATTAACCCCAAGCAAAATGTGAGTGCAATTACATTGAGAAATGACAAAGAGTTGCCACAACTCAGTCAGAGAATTTCTGAGCAGGCCATTGAGGAGGCTATTGAGAAAGAAGAAATGGCACCCAAACCTAAAGATGTGCCACAGCAAAAATTCAGAGATGAATCGTTAGTAGTGGTGACACCTCTTCCTCCATTTCCCAGTCGATTTGCAAAATCCAAGAAGAAGGAGCAAGAGCAAGAAGTTTTTGACATTTTTCACAAAGTTGAGGTAAATATTCCTCTTCTCAATGCCATTAAACAAATTCCACAATATGCGAAATTTCTTAGAGAATTGTGCACCACTAAGAAAAAGTTAAAGGGTTTTGAAAAGATTTATATGGGAGAAAATGTTTCAGCGCTTTTACAACAAAAATTGCCTCCTAAATATAAGAATCCAAGTATATTTATTGTTCCTTGCAAAATAAGGAATGTTAAGGTTGAAAAAGCATTGATAGATTTAGGAGCTGCAATAAATATCATGCCTCGTTCCATTTATAATTCTCTGAATCTTGGACCCTTAAAAGAAACGAGTGTTATTATGCAACTTGCTGATAGGTCTAATGCATATCCTGATGGGGTGTTAGACGATATTCTAGTTCAAGTTGATAAGTTGGTTTTTCCTGCAGATTTCTATGTGTTGGATAGGGATGATGATTTTTCTGTTTCACTCCCAATTTTGTTAGGCAGGCCATTTTTAATGACATCTAAAACAAAAATTGATGTTTATTCAGGAACCTTGACAATGGAATTTGATGGTGAAATAATAAAATTCAATATTTGTGATGCCATTAAATGTTCCAGTGAGGCACATTCTGTTTTTGTTATAGATGTAATTGACCCTTTCATACAGCAAAAGTTTGAATTAAATGGTAGAGATACTTTGAAGGTTGTAATCAATCGCAATTTGGATTCGTAAGAAATGTCAAGAGTTGCAAAGAAGTTTGAGTTACACCCTGATTGATCACTGGTATCGTCTAGCCAAAAACGTTAAAGAAAGGCGATACTTAGAAGGTACTCCAAGAGTTTCAATTTTTAGTTATTTTGTATTTTTTTATTTCGTATTTTTGTGTTAAAGATGAGTTTAGTTTGGCTCCTATTGACCGAAACTTTTTATTGTAGGTAAACTCTTAGGCAGACAACTTTCGATTATAAGACGTGCCCACGCTTTACGCTAAATGCAGACCATTGATTTTCAAGACCCTCTGTTATAAGACGTGCCCACGCTCTATGTCCGGAGTGCACTGTTGACTTTCAAGTTGGATGGGCAAAAAAGCTTTTGTTATAAAGCGTGACCATGCCTTGTAGCATCGTCTTGAGTTTGATTTAAGTGATTCAAAAAAAAATTTAAATTAGAAAGAAAAAAAAAAGCATTATCCCCAATTCGGTTTGGTCTCGTCTCTCTTATTAGCAAGGGCTGCTATCTTTCCTCTTCCATTTGTTTTAATTGCCCTAATTTGTTCCTTTTCTTTTCCTTTTTCCACAGCCTTGACCGAGCCTCCAAGTGCCATCTTCTACCTTTGGTCTCTGCTGCTCCATCATCGACAAACGCACCTTCGTGGGACTGCTCGCCTAAAGTTCTACCGAGTTCCAACAAGAAATGGGTATTATTTAGGCTACCTCTTCATTCATCAATTTTTGGTAGTTCAATTTCATCAATTCAGATTCCGTGCTGCCGATTTCTGTTTTCCCCCAATTAATTGTTTTAACAACTGCACTTGATTTCTTGGATTTATGGACAGTGGGTAGATATTTGGTTCTTGGTCATTGGTTGATTGTGCTTATCAAAGTAGTAGTCGGTGGTCAATTGCACAAGTGCCATTATTATAGTCTTTCAATTTTACAACAATAGCTTGCGGGTCCCTCCATTGTTGGCTTTGGGAAGCTTGATTAATCTTCCATCCGTCCACATAGCTTACCAATTGCATGATTATCTCCTATTGTTTTCAAAGACAATTGATAGTGGGTTGTTTGACTCGAGTTTGGCTTCTACTGGGGATCCCACTTGGTTTCATTTTTCGATTGGTTCACAATTACTCTTCGGTTATTAACCTTTGTGGGTGCATTTGAATTGTTGAAATATGGCAAAGAAAAAGTCTCCTTCAACGAAACCAGGTAAAACTTCATCTGCGCCACTTAAACCTGCTCCTAAACCTAAGAAATGAAGAGCCCCTATCCAACCGAAGAAGAGGCATTTGCAAGAGAACTTGGGATTGTTTCTTGATGAATAAAACAATTTAGTCCCTAAAAAAAAAAAAAACAATACCATACTATGCACATGATTGAAATCCAATAAACTGTTACTATATTATTCAGTAATTTAAACTCTTTAAACCATCTAATGGTTGATATTTCTTTTTATATATCTAACGATAAATTGATATGGAACGATATGGTACCCAAAAAGTACTGTAGAACTTCTTAGTCAATCATGTCGCTGGTAATCTTAAAAGCCTAGTTTGGTAAATAATTGGAAATACTCCTTAACCCCGATATATAGTAACTTTTATTCGATCCCATTTGGATTATCTTGAGAGACAAAGTCGCGGACAATACAATATTAGAGGTAGCCTGCCAAATACTAATTAACAAGTTTGATGGTTATAAACAATATAATGTTCTTGATTTCGATCCATGCATGCATTGTACTAGCTTTACCTAGTCAAACTTTGCATACGTAGTAATGTTTACTCTACAACAATATGCAATACACATCAGGCTAATGTAGTAAATGAGAGTCAAATTATCGAGTTGCATGAAATATTTATAACAAGAAAAAGACACTCTTTCGGATTTTGCTCTAAAAGGATGCCTCAAGATACTATTAGAGTAAAATTGAAATAGTGTAGCCTGATGTAAGTTTTAGGTCATGCCTTCTTGTGTAAATGTCATTCTTGGAAACAAAATTTTCATATTTTTAGTTCAAAAGCACTAATTAGGTATTAATGTTCAACTTCCATATTCAAATTTTAGTTGCCCGACATAATATATGCCACTAAAAACGTCATTTGCAGAAAAATGTCACATGTTTTATAATCTGCATCGGAATATTGGATAATCATGTTCAAAATCAGTTGAATATCTGTACAAGCCGAATTCAACTTTTTTGTTAGTTGAACGAAATCATTGACTTTAAATCCATTAGGAATCCAAAATGAATCTGGTCCCAAGATTCTTTTTAAAGTTTTCTACAAAAATATTGTTGTAATTGAACTGTAAAGACTTGTGATTTTATGAGATTAATTGACGCATCTGAAATACGATGTGGGTATTGTAACAAAAGCATTTATGTGTTGGGACAAGCTCCCATATGTTACCTAGAATAAAATTTCTCACCCTACTATTAAGTACGAACCACAAGTTTGTTATTAGGGGATAATTTCAGAAACCATCGGTGTGGCTTTTGAGAATTTCATGAAGCTCATCTCTAATTTTTAAAATTACACAAACCTCCCTGACTTTTATTGTTTGGCTAAAATTTTCTTCAAATATCCTAAATTACCCTGTTTTGAGAGAAATGGAGAGGGGATAAAGAGAGAGAAGGGAACAATTAAGTTGTGAGATGGAACAAGAAAGAAAAATGATGTGAGGTCAGGTTTTATTCATTTTTAGTTATTTGCTGTATAAATTTTGTAGGATATATGTGTTCAATTATAGTGAGGGATATTAAAGTACTTTTGCACTATGAAAGGAGGCTTGTGTAATTTTTAGAATTAGACGGGAGATTCCTGCAATTGCTAGAAACCTCAGGGAGATTTCTGAAATTATCCCTATTATTAGATGACCAGCTTGAAAGTCAATTACAAGATTTGCACTTTTTACAAAATATCATCTGTTCACTCCACAAATTTAAAGAGCTCGCATCAATTTCACTGACTCTTCCTCAGCATACTTGTCGAACGCTTAGCAAATGTTTATCTTTAAATTCGACCATTTTACTACAAGCATGCATTATATAAGTGACTACTTTTATTACAAAAAATTGGTTAATAAAAACTGTTATTTCAAAAGTTCAAGTATCATGTGCGATATTTGCTCTTTAATTGGTGAAACTTCTTAAATGTTTAGCTTTAATCAAAGAACGTAGATAAAAATGTTTAGTCAACTCGGGTTAGTAAATAGGCCACCATAAAGTCTTGGACATCAGATGTATCGAATTCATATGCCCCTTAGCCCAAACTGTGCATCGACTGTAGTACTCTGACTGAGAATGGAAGTTGTCTTACCCATCATTTTAAATACAACAGAAATAAGCGGCCGATAACAAAAAATACAATGGAACTATTGTAGTATATAAATGGTGATGGGAGGGGCATTACAATTCTTTCCACCCGTTGTCAAGTATAGGGGTTCAAATTTTGAATCTAGCAATTGAAAATACGAATATAAGGATTGGAGGGATTGTAAAAATTAAAAGAATAAGAAATGTATGTAAAAAGTTCCACGTTCTTGAATTACAAGAAAAAGTATTTTTCATATAATTTTTAGTAGTACAATAACAAGCACAAATTGGGGACATCCGTTTTACTTCCTTTTTTTTTTTTATAAACTACAGGTTGTTATATCTATTTTACAGTTTGCGATTAATTTTGTTCGAATCAAGTTGGGTCCCTTATAGGGAAAATCTGTCCTAATGTTGTTCTTTTCATTCTCATGTGTTTCGAATCCGAGATCTCATAATTAAGGGATACAGACCCTTCCACTTGAACCAACATCCATTGGCTCACCAATGAGAGAACTATACATAGATTAAGATTTTGAAGAATATTGCAAACTATGAAATGTAAGTTTTACTAATTTTATTAGTTTTGCATCTTTTTTTTTCCTAAAGTTACAAAAATGCATATATTCTAATTCCCTTTCACTTTGAGTCCTTCATCATTATCGTTATGCATTGGCATATAAGGTTTACATTCCCTAATGAGTTTAATTAGTCGAAGTAAAAAAGCCTTTAACAATCAAATATTAGTTGACGCGTGTGGAAGAATTTTTGTTTTTCATCTTAAAATTGATCAAAGGCACTGTCTTCATTCTCCCCAGGATAAAAAGTAAAACCCTATGAGCTCCTTGATCATTTTAATCCTTGATATTGATAAGCAGCAAGTTCGTATCATATTTTGTGGTAATTTATATGAACTTTTAAACTCTTTTACTTGTTAGTGAGGCTCTTTTTGTGGAAAAATTTGAATGTGCATCTTGGTTGTCGAAACAAGAAAAGAAGCATGAAAGTGTTGCAAAATAGGGGAGAAGGAACTGGCCATGGTTTCCTCGGCCGGTCCCTCGGCTAGTAGCTAGATTGAATGTATCAACTTTTACCACAAAATTTTCAGCTTCATATCCGGCCTTGTAACCGGCCAAGCTTCCCCCAAGGGTTAGCTAGCCGAAATTTTTTACTAAGAAAATGCAGCTTGCTCAACTTGTTTCTTGAAGAGTTCCCTTTTCATGCACTTCAATGATTGACAAGACAAAATTGAGGCTTGGAAGAGAGTACAATTATTAGCAAGAAACACCTATTGTCACCTCAACTTTTCTTGGTTTTTTCTTGAAACCAGGAAAGTTAACTTTTGAGTCAAGTTTTGTTTTATGTTCACATTGGAAGATACAAGTTAAAGGTTTGAAATTTTCTCTATAAAACAGAACTTTTGCCTTTTAGTTTAAGAACGGGGGAGAGATTGGAGAGAAAAGAAATACTAGAAATGTAGCTCTTAAGCAGTGTTTTGAAAATCGGACCGGTGTCATGGCCGGTTTGATCGGTTGATTTGAAAATTTCTCTATAAAATAGAACTTTTGCCTTTTAGTTTAAGATCGGGGGAGAGATTGGAGAGAAAAGAAACACTAGAAATGTAGCTCTTAAGTCTTAAGCTACAAGCTTGTAGTAGTAGTTAGTTTAGTTTAGAAGTAGAATAGGTAGTGTAGTTT